TCGGGGCGACATGGACAAGGAGAGTGTGAGAATTCCTCCACCTCACTCCCTGAAGATGGGGTGGGGTGGGGTGGGGTGGGAGACAGAGACGTGTGCGCATGAAGTGAATAGATTGACGGACGAGGTGGCCGTTTATGGCAGACGTTTCCAGCCGAAGGTGGACCATCGCACGGCTCAGATCCGACTCAAACGAGCAGTTCATGGAGCTTACGAACAGACAAGCGTTGCCGCCTTGCTCGTGTCTCTTGGAGTGGACGGTGGAAGGGATTCGGTGGCCGAGGGTCGTTGCAAATGTAGCAATCTTTAGACAATTGGGTGGATCCATCTTGCACAAAGACCATTGTAGGTCCACTTCAAAGTACTGCTGTATCCACAAACCCAGCATACTCCATACAACTCGTGTTCTCAAGCGGGCTTGCGACCAAAACACACAACGTAAGAGGGGCAGCAAGGATGAATTGGCAGCGAGGCCAAAATGAAAGAGCTTACAGACAGACTGCAACCTTGCACACGCACAAATGCACGCCTCCAGATCCGACCGGTGGCCCAGACACACGAACACAAATATAGAAGAAAAAACATCAAACACACATTAATATGTGCCATTTTTGCGCTGGTTTCGTCGGTTATTCTATCAGTCTTAAGTCGTAGTGACCAAAACCAGCAGGCCATATAATGTTGGGAATGTACCGAATCAACGGTCTTGTAATGGAAATCACCTTGACTGCCAGGACAAAGGACGCAGGACTGGGTACGGTCCACATGATCTCATTATTGCCCTGACTAAGCTGCGAAAATGAAGTCAATCTCTCCCAAACGCAGCGTAATCATCCAGAAGAAGAAGATAAAATGACTGAAATCCAGTCAAAGTTGAGAAAAATACGGGTTCCAGGCAGCCTAGATCGCATAAGGTGATGAGAGGGATGAAATGATAGTTGAATTCCCTCACATTTTCATTGAATTTCACAGCCTTGCCTCTCCAAAGGTAAAGGGTGTAAAGGGTGTATCATAGTTTCGACCTCTTCTTGGAGAAGAATAACTCTGAGGGACAAGGCTATGAGATATTCAGAAGGAATACTTATCTTTCATTCCCCGTCCTTCATCACCTTATGCAATCCAGGTTAAATGAAAGTTTTATGAGAGTATTGTTTGGAAGACTTTCGCTTTGTATGAAAGTGCACACAGAAGAGATTCGAGGGTCAATCTCACCAGAAGACGACGGCCGATTACCGTCACAGGCCATGAGACATTCTCCTTCGTTTCAGGTGAAAACGATGCTGAAAATCATCAAAGCCGGAACACATTCTTGTAGAAGTTTCAAGTTTACACCAGATTAAGAAGATTGTCCAGCTCTATTTCATACCTGATATATATACATACTCAACTAAGAAATTAAAATGTATAGACATAAATGTATCGATATAAAATAATTTGGTTGGTTCTCTTTCATATTAGTCATGGTACCTTAACCTGAGTGTGTGTGCATGTGTTAACGTTTGTACATAATACCGGTTAATGTTAAGCTCAAGCCACCATGGCTTAATGACCCAAAAAAATGCTTACCGAGATTGCGTAAGTGTGAAAGCATCTCTGGTTGATGCAATGAGATGTAAGTTTGTACGGGTGTAGGCCAGGCTACGAAACCACCGGCCACAACTTCTTAGTCTAGGGTAATTTAGGCTTAACGACACAAGGAAAGATATGACATGTGATTGCGCAATCTCGTACGTATGTTTGGGTTGATGAGCTTGATCTAACATGTTAAACTATGTGTGTGAAGCTAGAACCATCACTGGACTCATAGA